TGGCCTTGAACTCACAGAGATCCACCTGGCTCTGCGTCCCGAGTGCTGGGATTAAAGGCGTGTGCAACCACTGCTTGGCTTGTGTTATTTCTTAAACCTTTCTTCAGAAGCCTCATATCCCAATAGCAAACTGCAGAAAAACAAACAAACAAACAAACAAAAACCCAACTCTGCAGACTATGAATCTTGTACAGATGCCACCGTCTTCTAAAACTCCCTAGTGTATTCCAAAAGTGTAAAAAGTAAGACCAAGGGACCAGAATCTTAATGAGAATCCTTTGAGTTCCAGCCCAGAATCCTCCCGAAAACAGATGCAGCGGCAGCCCTGAACTTGCGCTGCTGTGGGTCTCTGGCCGGGTTGCTCTCTCACACCCCTGGGACCAGAAGCGCTCACCTAAGACTAAGTGCTGCCTGCAAGCTACGGACGGCCTGCAGATGCAGCAAGCACACATCTGGAATCCTACGGAGACACAGACCCCTTCATACCATGTCCTTGTGATGTTCGGAGAAGACAAATACAAGCTTTACTCAAAAGGAGCAAAATCGGGAGCCAATTTTAGGCCATAAAAATCAAGTCACTGTAAGGTTAAGTCTTACTGTTGAATGCAATTTGTTCAGTACGTTACTTAACCTCCTCCATTAGCTGTTAAAATGAGGTCAAGGATTAAACACAGAAACGCAGCTGGATAGGGCCTAGGAAAGGGTTACATTTTTTGATAGCCCGTTTGAGAGGCATATCAAAGCTAGCGTCCTTTGCATTTTTCCACAGCACTCTCACATGCTAATATTTCAACTCAACCATCTATCGTAGTGCCCAGTGTACAGTAAAACTCTATATACTGTTCGAAAAGCGTATTTAAAAATTTATGACAGGCAAACAGTTCAGCAGGTGAAAGCATTTGCCTCCAAAACTGATAACCAAGAGCTAGGGAGAGGCCCGATGGTTCAGCCCTTGCCGGGCATGTACAAGACCTAAGGCTTAACCCCGGTATTGCAAAATAAAATGCAAACCAAACAGACAACCTAAGAGTGAGTGCTGGAGTCCACGTAGTGACAGACAACCTAATTTCATAGGTTATCCTCCAACAGCAACCTCCATACCATACATACAATGTAATGTGACGCAAACACATGAATGTTAGACCTTTTTTTTTTTTTG